AACCATTATTTTCAGGAAAAAAAATACTGTACAAATAACAAAATTCTGCAACATAATTTCTCACAAAATCCTGCTGCCCAGTACAATTTCTCCATAATCAAATTCTCCAGTAAGTAATCCTGAGAGCTTTAACAGCTTGCGAGATTGTCAGCATTTTGTTGTTGTTATTAGGCTTTGTTGCAGTGTGAATTTTGCTCATTACAGCTACATTGCACAAAAGCAACAGAAAAATAAAGATTTCTCATACTAAGAACCTGCCAGCAAAGATAAAAAGTGCCCCAGACATGAAGAGCCTGAACGGTCCTGGTCTTACCAGACCAGGTCATTTACAGTCCTCCTTAAGTATTATCTGTTACCTAAAATATTGAATTTTAAAAACCTAAAATCCTAATTCCTGAACCTGTCTTGCTGTTTATTTTTCTCAGAATCACTGTTGTCATATATGAAATATTTTGTGCTCCGTCCATTCCTTTTAGACACTTTTCCTTCCTCCTGTTTTTGCGTTCTCTCTCACCTCCTCTGTGCCTATTGTGTTGTGCTACCAAATAAATATTAAATGTTGTACTCATTTGATTCTTCTTAACCAGGTATTCAATTCATACAACAAATACTTCTTCTGTGGGCAAATATTAGTCAAAGAATATGTAATATAGAGTGCTATTTAGCAAAATATATTTAATGAATTCTATCAAGTGTGCCATATAAATATTGACTTCTCCCTGTGGCATGTACAGAAAGCAATCACTTAGTTTATGGATGCTCCTGATCTGTGTTCTCAGGCACTGGCGTGCAGAGAAGCAGCTAACAGGGCACACAGAAGGAACTTGCCCAGTGGCATTACCTGTGGACCCACATTTCTTTCCATCATATTAATGAATCACACTTTCAGCAGAAAGTAAGAAAAAGTTACAACACAAGAATTACTATATTTAATAGTATAGCAACCGTCCCAAAATGAAGACTGTACGTGAAAACTGGAGAAAGCAATCACCTTGTAGTAATAGTGCAAAAAGACACAATAACTAATTACAGATCCCCAGATGTTTGACCTGCATTTCAGAGGGCAAACAAGTACTCTCTTTTTGGCCCAAAATGCAGTAATATCCTGGAAATATTACAGAATTTGATGTCAAAGTCCCTTGCATGCCTTTAGGATATCTTTGAATACAAATGCCAAAGAACTGCCCTATAGTCCTTACTCCATTTATCCCAGATGTGATTGCAAAGCCAAATTCTAGTTTTCAACTTTATTTTTGTAGTAACAAATTTATTTTGTACCAGTAAACAAACATCAGACCAGCAGTTTTAATCAGTGCTGGATCAAAGTGGCATTATCTCCGTCTGCAGGCCAGCGAGGGACTCCATTATATCACTTAAGCTCCATTAAAGCCAGTAGGTGATCTATTCTTGCAGCGCGTTGGAGGGAAGGGCAGAAGGAATTCTCTCTGTGGCACCTCCTGCTGCGTGCAGGCTGTCCTCCCACAACTCCCGTGTCAGTGACAGATAATTTATGTGCCACCAGCCATCAGTGACAGCACTCGTGCCAACCACAGCCCAGAGATCGTGCCTACAGACCAGGCGGGCCCTGCTTAATGACTGCACGCGTGGCAAATCACACACCTGGAGGTGAAGCAGGCAAATCAGTGTGTCCAAATGAGCTACAGCTGTGCAGCTAATTGCCACCAAAGTACAGGCAAGCTTGTGTCCCGCACAAGTCACACAAGATGCACAATTTCTGTGCTGGATGTAGGGGGGTTAGAACTAGATGACCTTTAAGGTCCCTTCCAAACAAAGCCATTCCGTGATTCAATGATTCTATGCTGTGTTACAGGAATGGCAATTCCAGTCAAGGAGAGGCATGATGCCTGCTCTCCCTTGCCTGAGTGGAGTGAGATTGGCCTACCCACACAGGGGCAAAGTCACCCCATTCTGCCACCATGGGCAGTGGGCAGAGCACTCTGGCCAGCCCCTGAGGAACTGACAGAGAAAAGGAGGAACCCTCAGGACAGGGAAGCTCCAGCAGGCACAGAAATGATCTGTTCTAATACTGTGACAAAGATTTATATTGAAGAATGCGGTACATTCAAACACGGAGTAAAAAATAATGAGGTTTGCTGCTGAAAAGATTAACTGTGGTTTTTTGGTCTCTGTTTTGATTCTGAATGATTTTTAGTTATCCCTTGGGTACACGTGACTGGTTTCCCAGCAATATTAAAAAAAATGTAACCTATGCTTTTCTGCAATTGAAAGAGAGCCAACTTGCATACCTGCTCCCCACATTCTGGCCCAGTAACAGATTCTGCCTCACATTCCACACAACTTCTCCTGTTCCTGCTGGTTGCAGCAATTTTACTTCCCCACCACCGGCTCTACCTTTGTCATTTCTGCATGACAACACCAAGAGCTGGCAGCTTTCATCTCTCCTCTTCTCCACTCACACGTCCACCCAACCGCACCCCGTCTGCACAGCTTCAGGCATTTCTTGGAGGATCAGGGTAGTGGGGCAGCTCCTGCAGGAGATGTTGCCCCCAATTCTACTTTTAGGGAGGGGAGAGTTGCTTTCGGTGTCTGCACTGCCGTATCTAAATCCAACATTCTTTTTCCTTGGCTCTTCATGCTTCTGAATAGAAGGTGAGTAATTGGATAAGGCTCTTACTTAGCAGTCAGCCTCCAGGCATGACTAAAACTCATCAGAATGATTACTCCTTCAGTCTGTGCCAAAATCCTATCACCTGTGCAGAGTTTTTAGAGTGCAGAAATCCTGAAAACAAAATTGATCTGGAAAGAAGCATGGGTGCAGGAATGAGTCCCTCCTGAGCTGCAAGTTCTGCTTGTCTTTACAGAAAGTATTAAATACTGCTGTAGTTTGCTTTCTAAGACCATAATTTCGCTCCATGGCTTGCTGCTGAAGATAATCATTTGATAATTTACATGAAAATTCTATTTGCCCCATTGAAAAGAATACTCACAAAACATTTTGCAAAAGTATTTCCAAGACAACTAGATACACTGTCTCCCTCATAGCAAGTACTGTACAAAATAGCAACTCTAAATGGTGGTCACAGCAGTCTTCTGGCTATCATTTAAATACACATTTCCCTATGCACAAGATTATCTTATGGGTGATTCTGTCACACTTCTATCTGTATTTTTGAAGGCTGTCTCCTGAACGTGTGCCTCACTCCAAAAAATTTTGCTTGCACAATCAATAAACATGCCTGTTAATGGAGCACTCTAGATCTAAAATTAAACTGGTCAGTTTGAACATCTAAATTGCCTTCAGCTATCAGCTCTCTCAGTCAGAGCGCTATAATTTCTCTGAAGTACCCTGTGAGGCACTTACTGTTGTTGCTTTCTTTTTGTACTTCTGTTATATTTGGAGTTATTGCAGATTACACTAGAGTTACTATAATGTATTATTTCCCATGTGGGAAAATCCATCTAGAACTGTTATCTTACTTTCTTGTCTTCGTTTTCTCCAGCAATTTACCAAAATGTTTGCTGGAAGGACAGCAAAGCAGCATAAAGATTTTGGGGAAAAGATTTTGCAGTTGATAAATGAACAAACTGGATCTTGTTGCTTTCTGTTTCCATTTTGCTCTCTTGCTGAACAATAAGTGAAACAAAATGGGGATTTCTCAGCTATGTTGATTTTAGAAATAGATTATTTAATTAAATCTTCTTTGTATGAAAGTATTTACCTGTGTTCTGCACTGTATTACATCTGAGGCTTGCCAAGTTTGTCTCCATTGGAACGGGATCGGTCATTTCAGAACTGAAAGCAGTTTTCTGGAATACCTCCATAAAAACCACATTAAATAATTCAAAAGAGCATAAGGACTCCAAACAGTAAGGCATTAAAAGCCAATTTTTAATCTCTGTTTTTTAAATTTGGTGTATAAATATTTCATTTATTTCCTTCCTCATTTAATTTCAGAGATCATTTTAAGTACATAACACCTATGAACACTAAATAACACTCCTAGTGAAAAGCACTCTAAGCATTCAAAAGCAGCATTTGCTTCATTCAGTCAGTGCTAGCCACCTGATGAAGGAGGACACAGATCTTTCCCAACATCAGCTTATCTTTGCGTATAATAGTGATTTCTTGTACTTATAAATCCCAATTTTCAGTTCATTTTCACTGCCAGCACAGAAAAAACACGTAGTGCTGGCAATAGAATAGATACAGAAGTAGCAGACAAGATAGCAAGTAAAGGAAATTTTAGAGGAACCATTAGCAACTACAGCATGTCTCTAACTTCAAGGAAGCACACTAAAAAATGGAGGCAAAACAAGTCAAGTCTTTCTTATATTCCTAAGAATATTTCTTATATTCCTAAATAAATAAACAGTATTCTTCAGTTACAGAAATGCAAAGTTGGAGATATATCAGTTTCATACAAGAATTCAAAAAGGAGATGTGTGCTGCTTTATGCGTATTAAACTGTATATCCGTAAAAAGATGCAATTGCAAAACAAAACAGAAGACTCTACAGAAGTCTACGAAATGCAACCAGAGTGGATTTGCAAGGAAACACATAAAAGATTGCACAAAGATTTGAAATAAAATGTAAATCAAAGGAGCCTTTGGGCAAATTCATTGTGCTTGTAAGAAACAAAATAATTCTGCAAAAGTTTGCAGACCAGAGCCGAAGATAAACAAAGAGCTAAAAAGAATAAATCATGGCAAAAATTGTTAGAGAAATGAAAATGCAAAGACTAGATAATCACTTTGAGTTTGAAAAGACTGCAGCTGTTTAGTTGGACACAGCACCCAAGTATTATTCTATTTGCAGTTACAGCAAGAATTTTGAAATTAAAATCAATTGAAATGAAAATTCAGCTCATGGAACAGTGTGCTGTGGTGAGTGTGGTGACCTGCAAGCAAAGGCAAGACAGGATTAGGAAAGGCTAACTCTTGCAGCTGTTTCAGAAATCGTGTTGTTTCTATTCTAGGATTGGAAATGTCAGATATTAGACAAAAAAAAAAAAAAAAAAAAAAAAAAAAAAAAAAAAAAAAAGCAGGTACTGAAGGTAAGTTGTTTTGTTTTGTTTTTAAATTATAAAATAAAGAAATTAAGTAGAAAACAGACCATAATGAAATGGATAATTGAACAGAAAAGTAGCATAGGAGAGGTAGCTTATCTATAACTCTTTTTCTTTGAGATATGTGGTCAAGTGTCACTCATACTGTCAGAGTAACTACACTCAAGCACATTTATCCAAATAATTTTTGTCTTAGTGCAAGAGACATGATATCATAGGTATGCCAGGCAGCTCACCCCTGAAATAATCTAGCATAGAAACAGCTGATAGAAATTGTTCTTCCAACTGAAACAATTTGACACTACTTAGGAAGGTATTTGGAATGAAGGGTAAACTCTAAAAGATACAGTAAACAAGATTCTGTCCATAAGGGCTACCATCTCCTTTTAGTTTCCTGACTGAGATGACTGCAAGGCAGATTCCACTGAGAGAAGAATGGAACAAGAAGTCATTGATTTGGAAAGTATCTTAGCAAAGCTAAAAGGACAAGCTTACAACATAATGAGGAACAAGCCCATGATGGGAAGAAACTCTGGGATCCTCAAAAACATTCCACAAACATCAGTAGAAAACCCTTCACATGATGATAGAACATGGATGTGATTGACAAGGGCACTTCAAACAAAGTGGTCAAAAGTCCTGTCGTATCCTATAAATCATCATCATATTTCAACATACCTTCTATGTGTGGCCACTGGCATTTTTTCTGTTGTTTACCAGGATGTCACCAACCAGGATAAGTGGGTAAATTGTAATCCAGGGAGCCATTGCCTACTGCCAAATGAAGTCAAGTTCAGCACAGGAAGGATTTGGCACTGAAAAGCAGCACTTTAGTTCACCATACCAAGAGCAGCACAGGGGCAAAAATTGGAAAGATAGGCATTTTTTTCTGCAGACACTGAAGAGACAGGGGACAAACTCTGCTGGTAGTAAAGGATATCCACCAAGTTGATTCAGTGGAATTATATGAAGTGACATAAAATATTCCTCTAAATAAAATTAAAATGAATCATGGATTGAAGGGTCTTGATTTATACAAGAAACAAGTAAATCTAAGTCCACAAAAAATTACTCTGTCTATACTAATGTGCAGGAGTAATGTGATAACACAGTTTCATAATCATAAAAAAGAATGAGAGATTTTAGTCTGCTCTTGTGTCTTGAAGAACACTCCAGAAGAAGAACTTGCTCAAAGATGGTTCTTCTAATCTACCCTGTTTCAAAGGAGAAGGGCAGTGTTCCAGGAGCCCCTGTTGATATCACTTACCGATTCTGCTCATGGTGTTAGGAGTTTCTGCAGGGATATTTAACAAAAGAGAGGAAAGCTTGCCCAACTCTCAGGAAAAAATGAAGAGAAGCTCATGAGTCTTGTGCTTCCCCTTCTGGTAGACATTTGGTGTAAAGGAATGTTCAAGTTAAAAAGGTGTATGCCTTTCACTCATGGCAGTCACATAATGGCACAAGGGGAGCTGGTAAACCCTAGGATATAAAGAGAAACAATTTGAAGAGTGAATCAATGTCAGTTCTCTATTAATCAGCCTGGGCAGCAACAAAGTGAGTATCATTGAAGGTTGTGTACCTCAACAAAGTCAGACACAGCTGTTTTGGAGAGTCTCAAGGGTCATGATTTCAAAACACGAGGTCTTGAAGGGAATGTTTGGAAATGAAGGTGAACAATCAACCTTTGTAGACCTACCTCTGACCAAAATCAGCCAACAGTCTTAGTCAAAATCTTATTCTTGGTGTAGAAACATGAACCAACCCAGTTGGTGGACGGACTGTTCTCCAGGCTCTTTGACCTGGAAGAACCCACTGATCTCCTCATTAGGTTCTCAGAGATAGCACCAATGATCCCTACATACCCAGGATTTGAATCCAACTTTGAACATCTTCTCAAGGATGTACACTTCCCTCAGGCAGTGAAGACAACAGCTGCAGCCATCCGAAGTGGAAGAACAGGTTCCCCAGGGAAAGTTCAGCATCCTATGCCAAGTGAGAGAAGCAAGTAACTCTAAAGACAGCTAGTGAAGTTTCTGCCAAAAAGAAGCTAAAAATTTGAGAAAAGATCACTGTTTTTGTACTTGTTTGTTTGTTCATATTGCTACGGAATCTAAAAGTTTATACTTTATATTATTTGCCTATGTACATATACGCATTCCATCGAAATGCTATAAATTGTTATATCTCTATAGAATTTTAAACAAGGACATGGGGACTTGCTCCAAATCAGATGGACTTTGAAGATTGGGCCATAAGATTCCTCAATGCTGAATGCCCACAATGAGGACAGAGCTGAGTCTGCACATCTCCCACATGGATAATTTTGCTTGCTCACCCGTACATGACAGTGTGAAGACTTAGGTAAATAAATACACAAGAGAAAGCCAAATTCAGAGCAAATTACCAAAAAACATCAACACAACAATGATATAAAACAACGGTAGACCATGCCGAAGAAAAAGAAAAGGAAATGTAATAACCTGATGTGGGAGGCCAAAATGCTATTCATAGCATCTTCACAGTGTGAATTGGGAAAATTCTATCAAAATTGTTAAGAGGTTGTTTAAAACAAAACCTTGGAGTTGCAACTTCTACTTAACTCAGCTAAATTACAGAGCAGAATTCCTGAAACTAAGATTGTCATCTGATGAAATATTGAATAGAAATCAATAGGGATACCTGGTAATGCAACCATCTCTGCTAAAGCCTGCAGAACTAAAGCACACAGGAACTGAAACCCGATGGATGCCTGCTTGCTCTACACGAATTCCAGTGCCGGCTCCAGAAGACAGGGAAGACCAAACTGACGCTGACTGAGAACTGTTGAAATACACATTCTTCTTCCAGGAGGGAAAGACATATGGGTGAATGGCCTTTTAAAAAGCTTTCAGCATCCTGCTTTCAACCAACTCCTGTTAGGGTCACTAATCATTAGCTGCCTGACAGACTGGGGGTCTTTCTTTCTTCATTGCAAATATCTCCCTCCTTTACATGACAGTTTAATTTTTACTTTGCAATAAGGACTCATTTCTGAGTCCTCTTTCACTAACACGTAAGGACACGACACTCAGATGAGTAAATACGGATTAAGTTGCAAAATTTTATGCACCAAAAATATTGGTCTTCATTTTCATATTTCTTTCTTATCTGTAAACTGAGGATAGTAAATTTAACAATACAGCTTATATGAGTCATTAGGCTTCATTAAGATTTCTACAGATTATATTTTTTAGCTACAGTGTTCTTACTTCTATCTCTTTCCCTCTGATGAAGGGATTTATAATGTCTTTCAACATTCCTTATCACGTTTGCCACTTTTTTTTTTAAACTCAGGCATTCAGAGTCCTGTTTCTTGAAAGCTCTGTCTGATATCTGGGTTGATAGCACATTTTGGGTCTCTTCTACTATAGCCCCAAGTTCTTCATGCATACTCTAAAATTAACATTCTTCGGTTTTCAATACAACCCAAAATCTTTGCTATTCAGCTGAGAAACATGAAAGCATGCACTTTTATGGTGTGTGTGTGGAAGAACCTGGAATTTATGACTCTGATTGCCTTGAATTACGCAAAAAGAACACCATTAAGGCTACAAAGGAAAATACCCAAAAGTTAAGCACCAGAATTAAGGTCACCAACTTACTACCTGTTCTTCTATTCTTATTCTGACATTAATTTCCAGGTAGAAAAATAAGAGTTCTGCAGTGGGTGCTTAAATGTTGCTCTGTAGGACTTGCTGACCTGAATATTGCCATACCTTCATGGGTCAGCACAAATTTTCTGTTCTTTGTGAACTACACTTCTGCATAATTCAGCACACACATACCAGTTCACAAAAGCCATGACAAGCCTACCGTACTCCCTACATGTGCCTTTCTTCAAGTAATTGAGTTTATTATTTTGATGCCAAATTGAAAAGGTACTATGGAATTTATGCAGTGTAGTTTTCTTTTGTGCCCGATAATATTCTAGACTATGCTGACAATTTTAGGGCTTTAAATCACCAGAAGAGCAACTAACAACCCTTTATGATACCACAAAATGGCTGTATTGTATTCTGACTGTTAAAGGCTGATGTGAAAATTATAGCTGAGGTTTTACCTCTGTTTTCTTTTCTTCATTTCATTTGTCTGTTCTCAGGCTACTTAGGGACAGATTTTCATCATGACGTAACAAGCAGCAGTGGCAGCTGAACTAAACCTCTCTGTGCAATGAAAGTTAATATCCTTGAGCTTTGCCTAATTCTGAATTCAAGGAGATGCCTTAGCAAAATAGAAATTACGACATTCTTTAGTAAGACACGTAAAAGATAAGAAAAATTTAAAATAATAACATCTTTATAAACATTTTGAGCTCTGTTTTCCTGCTAGCACTGATTTCTTTACAAGTTTTGATCTGGTAAAAGCTTGCATGAAGGTAGCCTGAGCAGGTTGTAGGAATGAAAAATTCCTCCTACTTCCTGGTTTCTTACTCAGTTCCAGACTGCTTTATCAGTCACAGCTTCTGTGCCCTCATGTTTTTTAACCCTAAAATTCTCCTAAAACAGAGCATCCAGCAATGGTCTATGAATCACTCAAATTCCCAGTTATGCTGTACTTTACATACCTGACTGGATCTTAAATGACATACAGATGCTAGCTCGACCTTTTGCCCATTCTGCGGGAGCATGGGGTGATGAATTGTTCAAAACATCACACTGTGCCACAGCGCAGAGCACCTCTCCCACTCTTCCCCCAGCCCTGGCAGGAAGACCCTGAGCAGGCTCCTCTATCCTGCCTTGGCATCCTCCCAAAGGCACGAGGAGTGGGAAGTAAAGATTTATGAAATGGCTGTAAAAAACATGATCCAAGGTGAAAGTTGGAAGCTAATGCTCAAATCCATATGCCATTTTATTTTCTTAAATAAAAAAAAAAATCAAATTGCCAACATCTGGATTGCTGTGTAAAAGCACCTTTTTAGTCATCTTGAATTTGCATTAGATTTTTTCAAAACTGTTTTCCATCTCTAAATCTATAGGGCAAAATAGTTACTTCATTTAGATAAGCAGCTTTTGGGCATGAATTACAACAACTTTTCATATGGATTTTTATTATGTGGATTAAATACTCTCTAATTACACATAGTGGAATACTTCATAACAGTCTGCTGTGTTATGTCAATAATCCATTACGATATGAATAGATGCTTGGTAAAACTTCTGCTACAAGCATGAGTGCTTACAATTTCACTGGGGAAAGCACAGCAATGCCATTGACGAGAGCCCAGTTGGACAGCAAAGATACAAAGACAGCAAAGTGTCATGAAGTGCACAGAAAGATCACATTGTGATAATGAGATGGAAACACCCTTGAAAGTACAGAGCTTCAAAACTAACATCAAATTTTGTCCAGACTCATTCCTTGTGCCAGTCGAAGCAGCTCCACAAAACTTCATGGTGATTTAACACTTCTTCCCATTAAAAAATAAGCCTAAAATCAATTTTCTTGCATTCTTCCTTGCGTAGTCAATCGCACAGGGATAACTCACAAGTACCCCTCATGACAGATCTGAAACAAGAGCACCTTGAGAAGGGAACTAATTCTGAAGGGAACTGGAAGCTACTGAAAGGTCCCCCAGTTCTGTCTCACCACACGCTGCCTCCTGCAGTTAGTGCTGCTGCTGCCCAGGGATGGAGCCAGGCAGCAGGGACAGCCAGCTGAAAAGGGACAGAAAGACTGGAAGCAAAAAATGTTGGGGAGTGTAAGAAAACCACAAAAGGCAGAAATAAAGAAGCACTTTAGAACTTTGCCCCGACTTCAATATTAACTACATAGAAAACATTTTAAAATCAAATATAAAGTTATATCCAGTTTATATTGGTTGACCCAAGACCAACAAGAGTTATTAACTTGAACTAATACAATTCACCAGCTGCTAGTATAAATATACTGTAGGTCACTGCAAGGTCATTACTGTGCCCTCACCTGTACCTTCTCTTTGTCCATCTGAACAGGAAGATTCCTTAGGCAAGTTTCAGTAGCTTTGTGCACTGTGGTGGTAAGGATCAAGGGACATAGGCCTAGAAACAGTATTACCATCAGCAGTTCCCTTAGTACTGGCATAGGCACAGCTCTCCAAAGGCAATTTTACATTGCAGACACCCTCACCTTAATTAGCATTATCCAAGAGAAACAATTTCAGCATAGAAACCTGAGTTAGCTTTGTTGTAAAGGGCTGTGAATGCACCCAGGTGAGCTTGAAGCAGATAATTGCAGCCTAAGGCAATAAGCAGTGAATTCCCTCCAGGGACAAGATGTCTGGGGATGAAAAAAGCAGGGGGAGCAGTCCAGGAAGGACCTAGTTCAGGTGGCATTTTACAGTATTTCATGTGCATTTGCATTTCATGAAACTCTGTGTCTGGGAACTGGACAGATCTCCAAAACTCAAATGACAAAACAACTGAAATATCTAAGGGAGGAATGAAACGCTCAAGGAAATAATGTCATATCCATCTCGGTTTATTATATTTGCTCAAATATCAGAAAGGTTTTGTTTTCAGTTAGAATAGGAGAAAACATTGTTCTGCATTAAGACATTCCTGTGATTTTCAGTTTGAGTGGATTCAGCACTCACAGAGCTCTGCAACAAGGATTCTGACACAAACCCCCGCCTTGGAAAGCAAAAACTGAAAAGTAGCCTCTTTGTAAAGGATGCTATCAATTGCAAGAGGTCAGAAAATATAAATCAACTTCTCTTGAGAATTCAAAAATGCAGACATCAGCCCCCCAGATTAGAAGCTCAAAAATGTCTTTTTGACATCTTTCACATCCTTTCACTTTTTTTTTTTTTGCCAGTACCTACATAACGGCTTCAAGTTGGAAAGCCATTCTTCAATGCAGATGAAAGTGCCTGCTTCCTCTGGCTGTTTAGACAAAATGCTCTGCTTACCCTGAAAAGCCCTTTCTTCTGCTGCTTTTCCTGTAACATTTGTGACTCTTCCCTTTTT